TCGCCGGAAGTCCTCTCCTCTCGTCTGCTCCTCCTATTCTTCGGGTGATGGGCATGACTGTGATTTCGGCGTGCGGCCCAGGGCGAGTTTCTGGCCTGTCGTGTGCGCCTTTGGCCCTCATCGGCCGTCTTGGGAGCCTCTTCGCAAGTCTAAACGGCTTCCTGGGTGTCTTGCGCTTTATTCGGAGCCTTGTGGGGGCGTTTAGTGGCCGCTTGGGGTTTCTTGGGGACCCCCTAGTTTCAGGCCCTGTTCGGGGCCCCTTTGGGATGGCCTCTTGGATGCGACTTAGTGGGCGCATGGCCCGTCTTGCAGGCCTCATTGGTACCAGTGTCAAGGAGCGTGTTGCAGACAGCCCGCGTTCTTGCCGGTGTCTTGGGGGCAAAACTTAGCCAAGACAGCTACGCTCAAGTTTGGCTCGTCGGCGTCCACGGCCCCGAGAGTCTGACAGGGACGCGCTTTCACCCCTGGGGCCCTGGGGAGGTGGTAGAGAGGAGGAGGAGGAGGAGGAGGAGGAGGAGGAGGAGGAGGAGGAGGGGAGGAGGAGGAGGAGGAGTGGGAGGAAAAGGAGGAGGAGGAGGAGGAGGAGGAGAAGGACAAGGAGGAGGGAGGAGGAGGAGGGAGGAGGAGGAGGAGGAGGAGGAGAAGGAGGAGGAGGAGGAGGAGCAGGAAGAGGAGGATTAGGTTGACATCGGTCGGAGGTGTGCATCTTTCTCGGGGAGGCCAGGGCCAGAAGATCTGGACCACCCTGGGAGTATCTCGGGTCATCCTGGGAGCAGACGCGCCCGGCACCAGAAACTGCACGGGGATTGGACGTTCTGTATTTTTTTTTTTGGGGGGGGGGGGGGCGTGCGCTGAGGCGCCAACCCTGCGACAGGTGCGCCTCGCCGGTGGCTTCCTTTGGGGGCCCGTGGAATCCAGGCCAGGTCTCACGATCGAGCGACATTCGTACCTTGCCGACCATTTCTGGCTCTCTTCTTCCCGGCCTTGCTCTTTTCGAAGGAGTTCGCGTGGTGAAGTATTCGCGGAGCTTGGGCGCGAAGAGGGTCGATTGCAACACTCTGTTTTTTGGGCTTGCGGCGTCTTTCGTTTTCCTCTTTGTCCCTGATGGCTGTTGTCCCTTCGCTCCCATCGGCCGGAGCAAAGATCCAGAGCAGATCGTGGGCCTCCGCCCGAGTGCGCTGACCACGGCCGGGAGCTCCGGCTCAGCGCGTCGCACCGCGCCGGTCCTGGCCCGCTGCGCCTCGGCGCGGCACGCCGCCCGCGTCCCGGCCCCACCGGGCGTCGAGGTCCCGAGCCCTGCCCGGCCTCCCGCCCCGCGGAGGGCAGCGACAGGCCATGCGCTCGCAGGGCGGGTCGCTGGGGCCGTCGCCGCGGCACGCTAAGCCGAAGGGCTCGGCCGTAAGCAACGCGGCATCAGATCCGCCCATGCTCAAAATCAAGTGCCCGCAATGCGTAAGACCGAATCGTGCGCGCGAAGCGCTGCAACGAGGGGCCGCGCGCCATCCAGGACCCATAGCCCGGTCTCGGCGTGGAACGGAAAGCGGGAAACAGGAGGGAGGGAAGGAGAGAAGCGGGCAAGGGATGGATGGAGTGAAGGGGTGTGCATGGAGGAAGGGGGGGAAGGAGATGGGGAAGTGGAGTGGAATGTTGGAGGAACGCGTTGTGAGGGAATCCCCATGTATCGTACAATTGCTTCTGTCCTCGTCCTGCGCTCGTTGCTCCTGGCATGGCGCACGCGTCGGCTTCAGAGGGTCACTGCCTGTTTGCGCATACCAGCTGAATGTCAAATCGCTCGCCGGGGAAATGGCCGTGACCTTCTTCCATGCGTTCAGCATTCACGAACCACGCAGCTGTTCAACCGCAGCGGTACCTGTAATGGGCTTTGCCATGCATGTTGTGCGTCTGACCTGTCCTCGGCATTGCAACCATTGGTGTCGCAATGGCGCTTGACATCGAGATCGACTGGCCTGGTAAGATATGTTGATCGGGGGCTGGGATCTTTCAGCGGGGTCTGCCAGGTGCCTCCCTGAGCCACTTTCGGCTTGAGTTCTCGGGATTGAGCTTGCCTGTGGATCCTTTCGGGGACAGCTGCTTCTCCTGATGAGGGGCCGAAGCTGCCTGCAACCCTGACCACCCCGCCGAGGAGGAGGAGGAGGAGGAAGAGGAGGAGGAGGAGGAGGACGAGGACGAGGAGGAGGAGGAGGAGGAAGAGAAGGAGGAGGAGGGGGAAGAGGAGGAGGAGGAGGGGACGGCAGGTTGGCTCGCGTGGCGCTTCCGGCTTGCTCGTCGGCCCCCCATCTCGAGGAGTGGTGCCAGCCGAACAGTGCTGGTTTCTTCCCTCCTCCTCTCCTAGACCTTTATAGTCTTTCATGCCTCCCTCTTCGGCACCACTCCCCCCTCCATCTCCTCCTCGCCGCTCCCCTTATTCTCCCTCCTCTCCCCCTCCCTCCCTCTCCCTCTTCCCCCTCCTCCTCGGAACCCCCGGAGCTGCCAGCCTTTTTCTGCAGCCAGTGTGGCCATCGCCTTTTCCTCCCCCGTCATTTTGCTTCATATAGATATGTGTATATATGTGTATATACATATATATATACAAGTGGCACGTGTGTGCCCAGGATCACACAAAAAACTGAAGGGGCGTTTGAAGCAGGAGTGAAATCCAACAGCGAAGTCGCACTCGAGCGCAAGTGGGGTTGCCACACCTTGCGATGTGTGTACCAGGGCCCCCCAGGAAGCCTCATGAGGCCCGACTTGGATACCAGAAGAGGCTCCAGGAGGCCCCAGGATTGTGAGTGTTGTGTGTGTGAGTGTGTGAGTGTGAGTGTGAGTGTGTGTGTGTGTGTGCTTGTGTGATTGTGTGCTTGTGTGCTTGTGTGCTTGTGTGGTTGTGTGCTTGTGTGCTTGTGTGTGTGTGTTTGTGTGTGTGATTGTGTGTGTGATGTGTGCTCTGTGTTGTGCGTGCTTTTTGTGCGTTGTAGGCGTTGTGTGTGTGTGTGTTGTGTTTGTCTAGCGTGTGATGTGTTGGGCGTGATTTGTGTCTCTGTGTGTGCATGTAGTTCTGAGGCCCCAGGAGGCCCCAGGAGGTCCCAGGCGGCCTCAGGAGGCCCCAGGAGACCCCAGGAGGCTTCAGGAGGCCCCAAGAGGCTCCAGGAGGCCGCAGGAGGCCCCAGGAGGTTTCAGGAGACCCCCAGGAGGCTCCGAGGCGGGGTCTGGGGTACCAGAAGGTTCAGAAAGCCCCAGGAGGCCCCAGGAGGTTCCAGGAGGCCCCCAGGAGGCTCCGAGGCGGGGTCTGGGGTACCAGAGGGTACGTCGGGGCTCGATTTTGGGAGGATGTTTCAGGCGAAACCGTCCAGAATCGGGGTCGAACTTGTTGAAATTATCGTGAGTTGTTTGAAGGTGCGATGTTAAAATGTTGAAATTCCCATGTGTTTTTGGACCCTGACGTCACGATCTGCGTGAGGGGTGCCACCGATTTTCAGAATGTCGAGGATGTCCCTAGCGAAACGGCCAGAAAAATCGCGGACGCGGCGCCCCGCGCACGCATTAATCGCCTCTGAGCTCTACTCCCTCGGAGAGGTGCGTATGATAATATATATATATATATATATATATATATATATATATATATATATAGATCCTTGTGGGGCAGGCCCGGGGCCCACAAACAGGTGCCCCGACCACCCATGGCAGGACGGGGCGGCCGGGGAGGTCCAAAATAGTCCAGGAGGGCTTCCAGAGGCTCCCCAGACGGCCCAAGCGGGCCCCGTGTCGCCGAAAGACCGCTCCCGGACGCCCAAGATAGGCCCAAGACGGCCCGAGAGGGTCCCCAAGGCACTCCACTACGCTTCAAGACGCCTCTCCAGACCGCTTCAAGTGGCCGAAATCGTCAATTATACGAAGGTTTGGGGGAGAATTTGGCCTTCCAGCCTTTTCGGCTGTCCGACGTTCCAAGACGGCCTAATAGGCCCCTAAGAACGCCCCAAGACGGCCCAAGAGGGCCCAGACGGCCCCAGAGGCGCCCAAGACAGCCCAAGAGATCCTCAAGACGGCCCCAAGATGAGCCCAAGAGGGGGACTACGACTCCAAAATTCCACCCTCCCGCTTGAAGAGTGCCCCAGGAGGCCCCAAGGAGCCCCCAAGAGGCTCCAGGAGGCCCCCGAGAGGCACCCAGGAGGCCCAAACGAGGCTTCAAGAGGCCACGAAACAGCCCCGAGGAGGCCCCACAACGGTCCCAAAACGGCTACCGAGAAGCTGCGAAACTGCCTTCACGACGTCCCCGACAGGCCAACCACGAGATCCAAACCAACACCCATGAGGCCTCTGACCCACCACCTAGGGCACCCGCCGCCCGCCCGCCGTCCGCGTAGCACGCACCACTCTGTACTCAACAGCTTCAGTCTCCAAGACAACACCCTGTAGTCAACAGCCCCCGTCTTCAAGGCAACACCCTGTACTCAACAAGCTCCCGCTGCAAGAGAGCACCCTTAAGGAATTCATTCAAATCCCGACCCGCCCGCCCGCCCGCCCGCCACCCGCCCGCCCGCCGCCCGCCCAGCCGCTCGCCCGCCTTCCGCGTAGCACGCGCCACCCTGCACTCAACAGCCTCCGCCTCCAGGACAACACCTAGCATTCAACAGCCCCCAGGACTCCTGGGACTGCTCGGGCCCGCTCCCAAACACGCCACGACACGCCAAGAGGGTCCTAATGATTGCCAAGACAGCCCCAAGGGGCCCTGGACACGCCGAAGATGGCCTCAGGACGGCCGACGACGCCGCCAAAACGCCCCAAGAGCGCCTCCAGAGGCCCCTCCAAAGGGCCCCGCATTTTTGCGCTCTCGCATGTTCCGCCTCCCCACGGTCCCAGACGGCGTTAGAGGCCCTTCAGATCGCTCCAAGACGGCCGAAGAGGCTCCCAAGAAAGGCCAGAGACGGCCCAGGAGGCTCTCCAGATAATTCAAGAGGGGGCCCGAAGACCGCGACATTTCAAGGTCTCCAGCCTGAGAG